TGTAAGAATGCATTGACAGTCATTGACTACAGTGACTCCCACCCCCTGTACCAATTACTACTGCCCCAGATTTATTTAAAGTAAAATACCATATTTTACTTTAAATAAATCTGGGGCAAATGCAATGGTTTGAAATCCGTCAAGTATTATTTGAGTTTTTCTTAATAATCTTCTAAATTTATTAAACTAGATATATACAAAGTAAGCTACTTGAAGTAGATGAGATAGAACATCTACTTCAAGCAGCTTTCTTTTTAAGATATATTTCTGTTGAAGAATGATAAGGGCATTGGCTTATTTTTTTTTTACATTTATAAAAAAAAAAGCCAATGAATCTGTATTTTATATGTTATGGAGGCATGATACCTCCGAAATAGTAATGTAAGAGTGGTATCATTGGTGCCACGTAATGACATAGACATCAGATAATGCTGTTCATTTATATAATTAGTACTTCCATTCAGCTCAAACCATTAGGTTGTTCGCCATTCCTGTTACACAAAAATCCTCTTTATTAAACATTAGCGAAGTTTATCAGTATTATTATTATTTGATTTATTTTCGCCACCGTTAGAACATGTATGGCTAGAGACTATAACAATTTGGCGCAGCGTACTGACCAACATCAAAGGTTCTGTGGTCATCCATGTAGTGATTAATCTCCAGTTGTTATTAAGTCTACACGGTATGGCGACACGTGTCTCGCCTATAAACGAGGCATCATCGGGCAATTCATCGATTGGAGAATGGAAGCCTAGTGCTGACCTATGCCCAGACTGCAATGCCTGCGGGTAAATAGTTTGCCTCTATTCTTATTAAAAATATGCCCACGATACGTAGAACAATTACACACTAACGACTGAAAACCATTGATCATAACATATTCAAAAGTATATAATAAAATACTAATAGTGTCTTGACCGTGATGTACAGGGCCTCATTCATTTCGTAATTCTATGGCGAAATTATTTATAACTTAGTTCGCCAGTTCTTTTTTCAATAATGTTTCTGTGTTATATATGTTTAGTTATACGGTCTTGATAATCAAGAGGTTTAAACATACTCCCTTAAAGTAAATGGTCGCGGATACGATATCTCGTACGGTTCAAACATTTGTATTTATGATTGTGATTGTTTGTATCGGTCTGGATAATTTCTATGTATATTAAGTATATATATCAAAAAAAGTATGTATTTATATCAATTGTCTAGTACTGATAATACAAGCTCTGCGTAGCTTGAGAATGTCTGTGCTCTGTGAATTGTCCTAAGACATTATTATTTCTAATCCTTATGTAGGTATTATATGTATTTTTATTTGAAAAATACATATTTAAGTTTAAAATTTTAATTAGCTATAGTATATAAAAAAGTTTGTTTCATTACTCAATTCTATATAGATGAATATAAAGATGTTATATATTGAGAGCAAGATCATCGAAGAAGTACGTAGTTCGCATAGTTCACGTTCAAGAGCATTCTTCCGACCTAGATTGTTCGTTGAACTACCAACGACTAGTCGTATAATATATCGATCGGCTTAATTCATAAACGGTGAAAACATTTAGTGACTACGTACTTCGCAATTTGTTGTCTGGTGTGAAGATTGTTAACGCTTTGCTGACGTGTATTGCAGGAATTAATTTGTCTGCGAACAGAACTTTGTGACAAATGCTGTTCGCAGACAAATTAAAACCCGGATGTCCGTTTTATTCAACTCTAACTGCATGTTTCAAGTGAGTATGCCTCATTAAACCTTTAATTTCACGTTGTGACTGGACTTTGCCGTTAAATGTTACATACCTACTATTAAAACTATGTATTAAAAAATACATCTATAATAATATAAACGTAACAACAATTAATATTAAATAAATACTTGGAGTAGTATACGAAAAATTAGGAGTGAAATTTCATTTGTACTGTTAAGTAATATTAGAACTTTATTTGAATAATGTGTAAGTAAATACAAAATTTTTGCACAAAGTCAAAATAACAATAATTTTTATGTTTATTACTTAACAGATTTATATTATTTTCTTTAATGAAATCCCCAAAATAACACTAAATTCAATAAAATATATTAAATTACCTACAAACATAAGAGTATATATATAGTTTATTATAACTAAAATACTGCTACGCTTTGTATAAATTTGAATACACAAAACAATACTAAACTATAATTACCTATATATTGCATACCTACACCTGTAGGTATGCCGTATATCCTCGCAGAAGAGAAAGAAAAGTACGTTTATCTAATACTTTTATCTATGTCATAAAATTTAGTATGTATTAATATCACTCAACGAAATATCGGTCCATACTAGGAATAACTAGTATATACTATCGGTAGTAAACAAAAATATAAATTCTAAAAATACATAAAGAAGAAACCGATCAGTATAAACAATCCATAAGTTGTATTCATAAAAATACAACGGTTTGTATGATGACTAAATATTAGATAGAATTCCAGATAATTATAATATTTGGAAAAATATTTTGATAAATTTTAATGGCATTACTGGTACTTTAACGATATCCCTTACTAAATAAAAAGTCAACAATAACAATACGCTGCATTAAGTAATAGGTACTAGTATATTTTGGAAAAGTTACCAACAATTTATTTCTACTTTACAGCACCACATTTATCAGGATTTCAGCCCCGAAAGAGTGAAAACACACTCCCATTAATAAAAATGACATGTGATCATATTTTAAATGAAAAGATTCATTTCACTGGTACGGGCGGCGCGACCGCTGCGCGTCGGACGAACCAATTAACGCTTCGATTAAACTCTGAAATATTTAATAACATTCTATGATCAAACGGTAAATTATTTCTCCAATTAGATCCCTTATGTTTTGTTTCCATTTAGATATATAAAATCAGTTTACTTTCTAAATAATGCGATAAATAAATTGCTATATTGAAAATCGCCAAAGATTTTATGTCTATACAAATTTTTGCTGTCACATAAATTCCATGTCTATTATTAGGCAGCTTATTATTATTATTTTTTTGTGACTGTAAACACCACCGAGGGACATGAATTTCAATTTGATCAATTAAGAAATATACTCTAATTGTACACAATGTAAATATAAGTATGTATGTAGGTATATACTAGTTACATTACAGCTTTATTTAATACTATTGTTCCGAAATAATATTTTAAATTAATATAATTCGATTTTTTTATGTAAATGAAATGATAGACAAATTTGATAATCCACCTGATGGTAAGTGGCAACCGTCTTCTAGATATGTGAAGAGCATCACGAATCGATATACAAACATTACTTCTGTAACAATTACGTAATTTCATTGCCATATTGTAAAATTGAGATCGAAACACAGCTTACGAAATAAGCTGCTTGATGAATATAACATCATTAAAAACACAAAATTAAATATAATCAGCATCCTAAAAAAATTGTCTCAATCTTCAAGCTTTAAAAATAACAATATTTCCATACAACCATTCATCACCCCTTTCAACCCCTCACGACCAATATTATGCATAAACAAAAGACTGCGATGTATGACATAATATATATAATAGTTATGTCAACTAAATAACTGCTTTTACAGATTAAAATATGCAATAGTAACGCCGGTACTAACTAGGTGGTATTATTTATACCTTTATAATTTCTGAGATATTTGTGAAATACCCTTGCAAAGACAGCAGGCCTCTTGTATGTTATAGAAATATTAATGTAATTACACAATTTAATGATTTCACATTTAATCGAAAATGTTCAACGTATTACTTCATTGCAACAGTCTCATTTTACCAATTTTATCTGTGTGTAATGAAGCAAAAAGTACATAAGTGAGTTGGATTATTTCCAGGGAGCCTGCCGGCCTCATTTGGTGTTGCACTTTATTTATTGCCAGCCATTGGTCGCTGTGAATTGAATCCAAATTACTGGAAAAATTCCTTGCGAACTGTTCGTTGAATTCCTTTGATATTATATCTTTAAAATTGAAATGCATTGTTTTCTTTTTCATGTTTGAACATCGATATTGTATTAGTATTATTTTGTTATTAGGATGTTGTTATTATTTAATTTATTTTGTACTTAAGTGCTATTCAATTTTCATTACACTTCATCGTTTTTTGAGTTTTCGGTTTCAAAATTTCATTAAAATTATAAACGTATTTTATAACATTGCATCACAGTAATACTGTCTTAAGTATTGAAGATTACTCTAAGTTAAAATTATACTACTAGTACTTACTGTTTAGTGTAATTTCCTAATTAATTAAAATAAAATGCTGTTTTTCTATCTTACACTTTGATAACGCGAGAATTCTTCGGATTGGATAGACTACCTATATATAATGAATTAATTACACTTGTACAGATGTCATTTACAGAAAATATTAACCATGATAGTTTGAAAAATATCAAGATATAAAAACAGTAAATATTCTTGACGTGACATTTTTTCTGTGAACTCGATGAATGATATTACAGGTACACATGTTACCTTGTAACTAGGTGTTAGTTTCCTGTTAGTAAAAATATTTTTGTACTTCGTACACATTCAGGTGAAATACTGCTTAGGGGAACTTGATCGCGAGGCGCTATTGAACCTTTTTGACCCACGTCAATGCTATGGAACACTTTGACAGTAACATTATTAACACATGGCATAAGGTAGTTAGGTATGCCAACGTACAGAAGCCGAGGTAAATTCCGATCTAATAACTAATACTCTTATAACCCAGCTAATACTTTATTACTGAGCATAACAAAGAATATACCTATAATAATAAATAGGTCTACCCTCATAGACGGACATACCTAGGCTGCCTTTTAAGTCGTGTCAATTGCCAACTTCCCGCGATTATTAAAAAAAAAAGCATATGGCATTTACATCTTTTTGAATTTAGAATTCGAAAACAAAAGAATGTTTTCAGATTGGTCGAATAGTTTTATTGTATCGTCTATTCAAAGGTGACAAGTCAGTTGTAAAAATGGAAATCACTAAGGAAAATTTGCGTGCGATAATTTTTTACAACTATCAAAGGGGATTATCGCGACTTCAGTGCTTTGAGGAAATCACTTCTGTGTTTGCTGATGTAGCACCATGTCGTAGGACTATAGAACGATGGTATATAGAATTTCAACGTGGGCACTCTAGCCTCAGTGACAAGCCACGTGAAGGTCGTCCAAAAACCGCCATGACGCAAGAGAATATTGAAGCCGTGCGGCAACTAATCCTCGAAGATCGTCATGTGACATACCGTGAGATAGAGGCATCCGTGGACATTTCGGGGACCACTGTCCAAAAAATCCTGCATGGAGAACTTGGCGTAAGAAAGTTGATCTCTCGTTGGATACCACATTTGCTTAGCGACGACCAAAAAATAGCCCGTGTTAGTTGGTGTCGCAAAACTCTGCAGCGATTCAACCGAGGAGAGTCAAAGTATGTTTATGATATGGTTAGTGGTGACGAGTCTTGGATATATGCTTACGATCCAAATTCTAAGCAGCAGTCAACTGTTTGGGTCTTCCAGGATGAGCCAAAACCGACCAAAATCATTCGCTCACGGAGCAATAAAAAAAAATGGTTGCCTCGTTTGTGGCAAAGGGTGGTCATGTCGCCACTATTGTACTAGAAGATTGCAAGACGGTTACCGCTGACTGGTATACCACTGTTTGTTTGCCACAAGTTATCACCGAATTTCGAAAAAACATTTCAAGACGTCGTATGATACTGCACCATGACAATGCAAGTTCGCACACCGCCCGTCAAACAAAGATGTATTTGAGCACCCAAAATGTCGAAATTTTGGATCATCCGCCTTACAGCCCTGACTTAAGCCCTAACGATTTTTTTACGTTCCCCAAAATTAAGAAAAGTCTTCGTGGTCAACGTTTCAGCTCACCCGAAGAAGCTGTTGACGCGTACAAATCGGCCATTTTGACTACCCCAACTTCGGAGTGGAATAAATGTTTTAAAAACTGGTTTGAACGTATGCAAAAGTGTATTAAATGTCGCGGAGAATATTTTGAAAAACAATAAATGATAATGATCTATTAGATTATCTATACTTATTTCAAACGACACAACTTAAAAGGCAGCCCACGTATTATATTTGAAACTGACAATAAATTATTTTATATAATATTATATAAGTAAACTGTAACGCCACTAAAAGTTTGGTTAACTGTTCTTTTTTGTTGTATCTGTAATTTTCATTACAAGATTTTAAACCTGGTAATGAAAATTACAGATTATATTGAAAATTATATATAAAATTACAGACGTATGGAGAAGTGAAATTGTCATATTAAAAAATCGCCATCTAAAGCGATATAGACAGATTAAAGCTCAATACATTCTATTTTTTTTAGCAATAGCACTAGTGCGAACCTGGAGTAGCCACATTTATAATACATAGCATATATAGTACATAATACATATAGAATAAAATAACAAGTACATTATTAGCAATATCGTAGCAAAGAACTACCCGTCAGTATAGGGAAATTTGCAATGATAATCTTGTGTTCATAATATTTTCGCAAACAAAGAAGGCTAGTGTGTAACTAGCGTGTTGTTTATTCAAAGCTCTTTTAACGTATAGTTATTTTATACATGAAACTAACCTTTCGCCTTGAGGCTTCCCTTCTATTTATATTTTTATTTTCTATATCATACTTTATTGCAAATCTCTTGATGTATTGTGGGTTAGTTTATGTTAATAATACTAACACAGGACATTCTGTCTTATTAACATTCTCACGAGCTAAGCACAGCTTGTGTTATGGGTACTGGAAAACTGATACATAATATACAACTAGATCAATACAATTAATAGCACTCATAAATACAAATGAAATAATAACAATCTAGCAAGCACGAGGTGCTGAAACCGAAACTATTTTAAAATTCAAAATATGTCCAAGATAGGAATGTCACATGTCACATCATAATTATACACACAGGGGATTTGACTTTTAAATTTAAATTATTTTACTTACCTTAGAATAATTAAGCTTTTTACAAACTAACTTCTTGTATTTAACGGCATTAAGTATAAACAATTTTGTAAGAAATAAGTCAACATAAAGTGATATAAAATAGAAAATAAACTATTGTATTGAATGACTTTAAAGTATCTTATGAACTACAAAAATTAAAAAAAAAACAATAATAAATCCAAGGACAGCAAAGAAGGTGACACAAATCAGTCAACATGACGAACTCGACTTTAATGCAAGTAGTCATCATCATCTGCTTTTTCCTTATCCCATAAATTTGGGGTCGGCGTAATATGTTTTTGTAGCAAGTAGTACCAAACATTAATGTAGCATTGTGTTCGTGTGCAGAAAAAGATATAAATGTTGTGTTTTCTAAGATTTAATAAGTAATACTGAGAACAAAAGAAATTATCGGCGGCATATCATGCTTTCTGATGCGGTCGGCCATTTGGCGAGTAGCCAACGTCGCCCGATCTTGTAATTTACTCGTGTGGAATGAGATTAACACGACATGTGGCTTATATTTAGAGAATTTGCACTTACTATGCCTCCATAGAGGCAGCTGTATCAAAGTATCTAATATGGCTTGAAACTTATATAATAATATGCTGTGACCTCTAACAATAGCAGGGTTGTCAACCTTAAACATATCCTTGTACGATTAAGTAATAAAATCTCGTATATTCTCACTATTTGTCTATCTAATTTGTACATCTATTGTATTTTGACCGATTTTCTAATAATATTTGGCCCGTACCGGAGGACAAATATTCTCGTCTAGATACATAAAATATCGTTTTTGTACCAGGATAATCATACAGTTAGCATCTCTGAACAGTACTTTGCAATTCTACTTGTAAATAGAGCTGCCATTGAAATTCATGAAAATACAATTGAAAGCTGAATTTTATCATCGCATTATCTGCCAAATCAAAATACCATCCTGATCATCTGTATGAATGGCGGTCCTCCGCCATACGTTTTTCAAGATTTTTTACGACGCACAACAACAGAGATAGATCTTCCAAAAATGGTATTTCCGAACCAATACGATATATGAAACCTTCAAGAAGAGAGTTTATTAACGAACTTACAAATTCACTTGGTTTTTCGGGTGCTCATGATCACTGATGTTGGTGCTCATCTAATGTAATCACTTACCATCAGGTGAACCGAGACCATGTTTATTCGTTATGCTATAAAAAAAACAAACAACAGTTTACGTTTAAGAAAAGATTGTGAAAATTATTTGAACTAAAGTATTTGGCTCTTTTAAATATATATTTTTTATTTTCTAAATAATTTATTATGAACTTCGTGTTTTACTTACTATTTTAAAATATAAACAAATAATACCATATTAAAGTTGTTATACATATTTATGTAATTATTGGTATTGTAAGGGTTTCTCAATAAATGTAAATTTTGAAACTAAACACTGACTAATAGAAGTATATTTACAACACTTTAGTATACTTTAAAAAAGTTATTAAAAGAATAGAAATATCTTAAGAAATTAATCACTTTGAGTTTTAAGTAGTCTTGAAGTACTCGAAACTTAACTACATTTTCCTCCCCCGTTACTTATAAGAGGATATAGAGAGAGTGAAAGAGTTAAATCAGATTAATGAAGAAAACGTATACATTCATTTGTTTCAAATTTATACGTTTATTAAGTCTAAAGTTACAATAATATATATTGCAATCTACCTAAAACCTTTAACTCGGTTTGTCCTCTCTATAGATGAATTAAGTATGATCCTTGCTGAATTTAATTAAATTGAATTAGGTTTAAATTTATGTTATAGTTAAATCAAATTTACCTAATTACTTGCATTTAGATTGATATTAATTTTAATTAAATTTTTCTATAATTAGATTGTAATACTGATTACAAATGTTATATTTAGAGTTACTACTGAAACTACTTATAGCAGTCAGCAAGCAATAAGAGAAACCCCGTCAGTGATCAATCTTCTACTTCTAATAAGTCTACGTCTCCCAACTCGTAGACTACTACGCTAAGTAATCTACAAGAGGTTTTCAATCGATTAATACCTTAGTATGTATCAGTTAAAGGTACAAAACGTCTCACAGTAGGACTGTAATCTCAAATCCTATATTGGTTATAATGAATTCTACTCATCTAATGATTAACTTTTTATAGGTATATACTATTATGCTATTATAGTAGTAATTTATTAGCTATGAAATTACAGGGTACGGACGCTTAACATCCGAACACTCTGGAATGGAAATTCGGGGTGCACTACGAGCATTTCATGATAACGTGATTTTCGTGATGCTTTGCGTTGCGTTTACATATATACCCATTGGCAATGAGTCGTCAGATGTTTGCCTATCAAGTTATTAAAAAAAGAAAGCTAGTCTTAGTTTAACTTATAACTCAGTAAAATTCTTAAATAAATTAGAGCACACAATGCCATCTAATTCCAAACTGAGCAAAAGTTATAGGTACATTTTAATAATAAGTATATTATTTACACATAATTTTTAAATAATACAAGTTATATAAGAATAAGTCACTTGACTTCGACTTTGAAAATCAATGGTTTATTACGACTAGATACAATGCATACAAGTGGCTAAAATGTCTGAGACGCTTATCACTTCCAAACCATTGAATTCGCCGCGGGCAGCTCACATTCGCACCATAACAAGAAATCATTCGCAAATAGAAAATTATACGGATGTCGGCTTTATAATATACTAGTATAATATAGTACTTTCCCGTGACTTTAGATATCTAAATGTGACCAAAGCGAAACGACCATAGAAATACAGACTATATTTTGAACCTGAATATGTTTTTATGTCTTAAAAAAGATCATACCGATCTATTGGCTTATGATGATTGATGACCCATTCTAGGATAGTGATAGAGTCGTCAATCGAATAACAAACAGGTTCCTGACACTTTTTTAAAGGCTGTCTTGAAAAAGATCTATTTCAGAGATAAGTTCGACGTTATAAGTTATCTATTTTGAATAACTTTGTTTTATTTTTATCATGTACAACTGTACAATAAAGAAAAGGAAGTATCAGACACGACCTAAATTTTAATTTATTTATAGCATTTATATTACTCACTACATTTAGCTGTTTACTTTTCAACTTTTATTATAATAGTGAAATCTGTATCAAAATCCGTTACATGATGAAGTAATTAAATAGCTAGACAAGATCAGTAACTTTATTCTATACTCTATATAGTAGTAGATGTATTATAAATGAGCAACATTAAAACAGTAACAAATTTTTAAATAAATTATACTTTTTACATTTCTCTAATTCATCATAAGTTATACAATCCCATGTTGTGCCATTTATCTCAAAACACGGTATTCTCACAATCACTTCAATGATAGGAATTTTAGTATATAAATAAGCAAAGTACTCTTCAACACAAAATAAAGAGTCACATAGTACAGCAACTTTGTATTAAATGGTAATGGTAGTGGTAGTGGTAATGGACCTTATTTATTACATATTTTTTATACCAAATTTTGAATCAAATGTTCGATTATCCTTTTCTATTTACTTTGAACTTTAATAAAATCTTTAGAATTCTCTCAAGGCTTTTAATTTAAAAAAAATAATTGCGTTTTTT